GAGCCATGACCGCCAACGCCCTGAAAGGTCATAGCACAAAAAAAAATTGAAATAGATGGGAAGCATAGCAGAAAAAAAAGTAGAAAAACTTCCTATTGTTCGACACTAATTTGATAGAGGACATAAATGAATGTAATCGTTCGTTTTATGTAAAGAAAAAGAATACACTGGATTAAAAAAAAAAGAAAATATAGAAGTTTGTCTATAGCCCGGTTCACACACCTTCCAAATCTATGTCATATAGAACATAAATGACTCGGGCAGAGTGGAACACAGACGAGATTGCCCTTCGGCTATGACTCGTCTGGGTTCCTCTCTGCCCGAAGACAGAGAGTTCGACAAACACTAAGAGCTTAGCGCGCGGTTAAGACCTAATGCTAACTCATCTCAACTCCGCTTAACTCCATTGGCATTTCTAGTGACATCGATACGAAATTTGAACCCAACAGTGACGGAATAGAACTCAGACGACTGATTTGTTTACGCCGGAACTCGAACTCTAACCCGAACCATAACCTTAACACTAACCCTAACTCTCCTCAGCTCAGCTTATTTACATAAAAACGGACGATTCTAGTCATTTATGTTCTTTATGACATAGATTTGGAAGGCGTATGAACCGGGCTATAGACAAACTTCCCTTTTTTCCTTTTTTTTTAATCCAGTGTAGTCCTTTTCCTTTAACAATTAGAACTAAAAGTTATAGACCCTGGTTTACTCTACTATTTAATTCAGAGCTGAGGTTAATAAATAAAAACATGGTCTAATGGCATTTCTAGTGATATTGATGCGAAATTTGAACTCAACAGTGGCGGAATTGGAACTCAGACGACTGATTTGTTTACGCCCGAACCCGAACTCTAACCCGAACCATAACCTTAACACCAACCCTAACTCTACTCAACTCAGCTTATTTACATAAAAACGGACGATTCTACGAGTTTGTCTTCCATATTTACTTACCTCTGTTATCTCGAAATACAATCACGAGATATAACAACTACTTAGAGCAACGAAATACAGAAAGTTGTGGAGAGCCTTGATCTTCCACTCCTTCAAAGATTATAACAGAAAAATAATATCCGCCTATAGCCAATAGATCAAAAAAGTGTTTTAACAGAGGACGGAGAGTGCGACACGGATTTTCGAAGGCTTCTTGAGATAGCGAAAAAATGCCTTCCAAAAGCTAAGCATAGTATTAAGAAACAGAAACATTTCATTAGAAACGAAGACAAAGACTACCGAACTGCTACGCAATATCTGTCCTTCTGCATGGCAGTGAATGCTGGACAATCTCGATAGAAATAATAGAAATGTGTTTCTACAGAAGGATACTGAGAATACCACGAACCAAATATGTGAGCAACGACGATGTTTTAGAGATAATAAAAACAAAAGGACACTTATACTTAACCCCAGGAAGAGAAAGTTGAAATTTGTAGAGTAGGTAATGAGGAAGGAGGGCTTGGAAAATTTGATACTCACAGGACAGAGTGAAGGCAGGGAGGGGCAGAGGAAAACAATTCCTAACATAATTATTTAGCTTGGGTAAAAAGATGGCGGAAAAAGTTTTAGGAGAGATAACAAAAAAAACAAAGATTATTAAGAGCTGCAAAGAACAAGAAATTATGGAGTTCCATGATAATCTACGCCCTGAAGTGACAAAGCTTAAAGAAGGAGGAGGGGGACAAGACAGAGGAAGAGATGAGGATGAGTAGAAAAAGAAGGAGGAAAAGGATAGAAGAAGAAGAAGAAGAAGACATGGATAGTGTGAACAGTGGTGTATACAGAATCACCAATGTCCTGAAAAGACAAGGCATAAAGAAGAAGGAAAAAGGGGAGGAAGGGAAGGAGAAAGAGGAGAAGGAGGAGGAGGGAAGAAGAAAAAGAAGTAGAAGACGACGACGACAACGACGAGAAGTATAGTATGAACAATGGCGTACACCGAATCACCAATGTCCTGAAAAGACAAGGCATAAAGAAGAAGGAAAAGGGGGAGGAGGGAAGGAGAAAGAGGAGAAGGAGGAGGAGGAGGGAAGGAGAAAAAGAAGTAGAAGACGACGACGACGACGAGAAGTATAGTATGAACAATGGCGTACACCGAATCACCAATGTCCTGAAAAGACAAGGCATAAAGAAGAAGGAAAAAGGGGAGGTAGGGAAGGAGAAAGAAGAGGAGGAGGAGGAGGGAAGGAGAAAAAGAAGTAGAAGACGACGACGACAACGACGAGAAGTATAGTATGAACAGTGGCATACACCGAATCACCAATGTCCTGAAAAGACAAGGCATAAAGAAGAAGGAAAAAGGGGGAGGAAGGGAAGGAGAAAGAGGAGAAGGAGGAGGAGGGAAGGAGAAGAAGAAGTAGAAGACGACGACGACGACGAAAAGTATAGTATGAACAGTGGAGTACACCGAATCACCAATGTCCTGAAGGGACACGGCTTGAAGAAAGAGTAGGAGAATGGGAGGAGGAGGATAAGAAAAAGACGACGAGGACAT